TAAAAGGATCCTTAATTCACTAAAAATAGAAAAAGAAACGAAAGTCACTGATTAATACTAATAATAATAAGTTAAATAGGAAAATATAAAAAGATTCTGAATCTATACCATTATTAAAAAGAAAATCCTTCTTCCTTACTTTCACACCCAAACAATAGAAAAAGAAAAAAAATTTATAATATAATTAAAAACAAAATTCTTTTTACTTGATTTATCGCCCAAACAATAGTAAATAGTAAAGGTAAATTAAAAAAAAAAGGATGAAAAAAAAAGAACAAAAATATTTCACAATAATATTCTATATTATCAATTAAAAATGGAATGAAAATTAGGTAAATAAATAAGTACTATATTATCAATTAAAAATGGAATGAAAATTAGGTAAATAAATAAGTATATGTTCAAACATATTTTCTTAACCAACACCTTCACTAAGGCTCAATCTCATGACTTCCCACATAAGAGAGGTCACTACATGCCATCTGAGCACAAGGTGCTTGGCAACAAACATTAGGTTAATTGAAAAAGGAAATGAATATTAACAATTGTTTGAAAATAAGAAAAAATTCATAATTGACTAAAATAGAAAAAAAAATGATCAGATCATTGCATTTTAATTTTTCACAATAATATTACACAGTATAATACATCAAATCACAAGTATGTCATAAATTTTACACAATTTTAAACAATAGAATGGAAATATTTCAATAATAATATTCTACACTATCAAGTAAAGGTAAATTAAAAATGAAAAGGAAATACTTCAATAATAATATTCTACATCATCAATACTAAAGACATATTTTAAACAATAGTAAAGGTAAATTAAAAATGTAGCGAAAATTAAAAATGAAATGAAAATATTTCAATAATAATATTCTAAATCATCAATTAAAAATGAAATGAAAATTTGGTAAAAATATCATTGCATTTGATATTTTAGTTTGCTAATTGATTAATTGACTAAAAATAAAAGAGAAGTAATTGGATGAAAATAAATATGATATTACTAATGGATTGAAAATTTAAAAGGAAATGAATATTAATAATTGACTGCAAATAAAAAATTATTCATAATTGACTAATATGAAAAAAATAAATGGTTAGATCATTGCATTTTAATTAAAATGGAAGGGAAACTAAAATTGAACGCCAATATTTCAATAATAATATTCTACATCATAAATAGTAAATGCATATTTTAAACAATAGTAAAGGTAAATTACAAATGGAACAGAAATATTTCAATAATAATATTATACATCCTCAATTAAAAATGGAACACAAATTAGGTAAAAATATCACTCCATGTAATATTCTAATTGACTAAAAATACAAAAAAATAATTAACTGAAAATGAATATGATATTACTAATTTATTTAAAATATAAAAGGATCGCTAATTGACTAATATTATACCATTATATATTTTCACCGAGTCACCCATCCTGATCAATTGAAGGTGTTAGCTCTAGACGATGATGGACAAGATTGTGTTGCTACTATCAATGTCGTCTACAAAGAGGTTTCAACAATGTGTAAATAAAATCGTTGATATTATATTTTTTAAATGACAAAATTGCTATATGTATAGACAAAAAAAATATCCTCCATACAAATGAATTAAGATAACAATTCATTCATATAACTGAGTTGCTAGAAAACGAACACATTTGTATAATTTATAAAAAAAAAAATACTTAACAATGATAAAAAAATCTCCAAAGTTATAACACTACATGCATACATCTACACATTAGCTATTAATTTGAGCAATTATTTGCTTGAATTCATACAATGATAATATAAAAACACATAAATGATCCAACCCGTATATTCAATTGAACTATATAATATTTGATGTTCTAACTTAAATAATTATATACCGATCCAAATATTCTTAATACATTACAACAAATCTATTCCGTGCATCGCACGGGCGCAAATACTAGTTAGGAATATATAGTATTACTCTTTGATATATATATATATATATATATATATATATATATATATATATATATATATATATATATATATATATATCACAAGGATCATATGAGACATATAAAAGGTACTAGTATTTTGTATGCGCGATGCGCAAAAAGTAGGTGTCTAATATTAATACATTATATTATAATTTTAAATTTATTTAGATTTTAGATATTTAAATTATTCTAAATAATAATAATAATAATGTAAATCATTTTTATAAATTTGATATTTATATTTATGTAATAATTAACATATAACTCAAATATTTAATGTGTATATATTATTATTGATGAAGAAGATAAGAAAATATATGGGGGATGCATGTGCATGGTAACAATAGTGGAAAAGATAACGGAAGTTATAACGATAGGGGTATGTTTGTCCAAAATATTTGAATGTACAACCTTTAAGCATAATGTACAAAAAAAAATTAACGGAAAAAACGGACATAAATCAGAGGTATAACTGTCATTCACACTTATTATGTTTTTAGATATATTAATTCATTTAGATTTTGGAGTGACTAAGCTACTAATTAATTATTATTTTTTAATGTGATAATATTTCTATAATTATGAAAGTAATAATAAATTTGAAAATAACTATCATGTACACAGACCTGTTTGGCAAAATTTAGTTTAGAGTTTATAGCTTTTTTATGTTAGAAATAAATTATAAACTTTGGTTGGTAAAACATATGAAGTTTAAAATAATATTTTCATTTGAAATACTACTTTAAATAGCGTTTCAAAATAAGATAGTAGCTACTAGCTTTTAAGCTTTCAACTTTAATTAAGCTAGCTTTGAAATTACGTATGCCAAACATAGTTGTGGTCTATAAATAGTGTACTCGTATGTGTGCACTATTAATTAATTATTCATAAATGTCAATATTAAAAGCAAAACAAAACTAGAAAAGATAAGTTAGCAACCATTGCAAGCTGTTGACAGAGATAACTCCATAACCGTATACCAAAACCAACAAGATTTATAATTCTTCAAGTGAAAGGAAGCTGGAATGACAATAACTGAGAACTGAGCTCAAATAGAAAATTGGTACACCAAAGCTTAGCAAGGGAAGAAAAACTAACCTATATTATTATTATTATTATTATTACAAATTTAGGTAATGAGAAATTATTTATATTCAAAATATAATACTCCGTAATCCATATGTCATTGACTTTGGAGTTTGTATTCAAACTAAAAAATGATTAGAAGCGGATAAACGTGAAATAGGTCGTCCTTGTAAAAATCGTTTGGGACACGTATACCAACTACCAAGAGTGAAATAGAGTGACGGATTTGTTAGCCAACTACTCTCTTATGAACAATTGTGGTTTACTTAACACCCTCCTTGCCTCTCCTTTCTCTAGTGACAAATTATTTTGTGGATCCAGGTCTACTTTGTAAGGTGGATCTATGTTCAAAATACACAGTTTATATTTTATATACTGAATATTGATTATTTTGTAAAAGGTAAATTGTAAATATAAGTATGTAAATTGTGAACATTAAATATGTAAATTGTAAATATTTAATATATAAATTGTGTATTTTAAATCTGAATCTATCTGATAGGTGAACCATAGTCCATATAATTCTTGTTCTCTAGTACTCTAGTAGAGTAGTAGAGTTGATGCAGAGTGTCCTACATAGTGTGATTTGTTTTTGAGGTGTCCCTTCACTTGCGGACCCACAAAAAAAAAAAAAAAAAAAAAAAGAAAGTGGGTCATGAGGTTTTTGATAGCAGAAATCAAATTAAACATTTTGAAGTAAAGTTATAAATGTTTACTGACTCAATTGATATGCTTTATAGCAATCGTTGAACAACGTCTATGTATTTGTAGTTCATTTTATTTAATTATACATGATCTTAAAATACATAATAAGTTAATTATAGATACATAATATGGACAAAAATTTATAATGCATATGATATGATGGATTTTGATCCACGATATAATTTGTGATTTTTTAGGACAAAATATATCATGGACCAGGGTGCATAATGCATTGTTCTTTCTGGTCCAAAATGACGTCGTTTTGTTTATATTCATTTATGTTTTTTTTTTTAAATTCCGTTTCCCATTTCTCCCTTTAACTTCTAAAAAAAAAAATTAATGTTTCGTATATACAAAATTGTATAGCAGAATACATATAAACTCCTAATATAATACACATAATCATAAGTATAAGAAATATCATTTCTGTATATTGAGGTACATAATTTAAATTCAAATATGTACATAATTATATAGTTGAATACATATAAACACTTAATAATATAATACACATAAACACAAGTCTAAGAAATATCATTTCTATCTAGCGAGGTATGAATTTAAATTCATAATGTACATAATTATATAATTGAATACATATAAACACAAGTTTTAGAAACATCATTTATATTGAGTGATGTATGGAATTGAAATTCATAATGTACATAATTATATAATTGAATAGATATAAACACAAGTTTTAGAAACATCATTTATATTTAGTGAGGTATAGAATTGAAATTCATAATGTACATAATTGTATAGTAGAATACACATAAATTCCTAACATAATACACATAATCATAAGTCTTAGTAATATCATTTCTGTGTACTGAGGTATGGAATTGAAATCCATAATGAATAGAACTTTATAGTTAAATACTTAAATACACATAAATTTTCAACTAAATACACATAAACACAAGTGTTAAAAAAAAAGCTGTAACGGGATTAGACGGACGGAAGTCAGTCGCTTCAACTCACTACCAATTCAATCAAAACGATGTCGTATTGGATCAGGGTCCACAGTGCACTGTGAACTCTAATCCACGATATAATGATCCACTTTCTAGATCTAGACCAATTGGGTTTGGTCTATGATATTGGGTTCTGTTGGGCTTGTCTGTCAAGCATACGGACCCAACAAGATTACCAGAACGATAATAGTAATGAATTAAGTCATTCTTAGCCTAGGTAGTTCCAACCTTGGAAGTTTCTGGTACTTTGTTCTTGTTTTTACCAATTCCATTGATGTATTCTTTAGCATATGCCGGATGCTGCTAGCAATAATCCAACCTAGTTTTCGTTGAAATGCTGTTTTTGTTCACACATTATTCTTTACACCGGAGTATATATATATATATTATATAATAGAATGCAAATGCAAACAATTCCGTCTCAAGCTCACAAACACATCTCCGATTCTCCGGCCGGAAAAAATGGAGAATTCTCGGACTCAGCTCCTCCTCCGCCTCTTCGGCTTCTTGCTTTTGCTCTGCAACGCCGCCAAAGCAGAATGTATGAGAAAAACATAATCAGATATAATACTGTATGTCTGTAATGATTTTTTTTTTCTTTTAAAGTTCATGTTTGGATGCTTTTTTTCAGTTAGAGAAAATCCGACCTGGAATCCAAATCTGACGCCGTTTGAGCAGTGGAGAAGTGCTTATTTCTGCTTGCTTAATGTAAAGTTGTCCGTAGCGCCATTGTACAGATGCTTTAATTTACTGCTTTGCTTCGCTATCATCGTCGTTTTTACTAATTCTTTTGTTTGTTTGTAGTTTAAGGCGAATACTACTTGCATACCAAAGTATGTGCTGAGCATGAAGGGATGGTTAAATGTAACGAAGAATGAAGGACCGGGGTTCTGTTCCAGTAAATGCGTTAAAGAAACCAGAAACGTGCTACATTGCATTAGCCACACCAAACGCGACTTCTGGTTCGCCAACAAGGCCACTGTTAATGATATCAATCAAACCATCATCGACGGATGCGGCCAGAAAGGTATATGCACTTTTCAGTGTTTTTTAGTCGTATATACAATTTATACAGTGTTTATTGGCCTTATTAGTTTGAGCCGATAGGATCATCTCCTAAATCAAAATGATTCTAATAGTTTACCATTTGGTGAATGTTGGTGCAGGTTTTACTGGAGTAAGTTACCACCCGGTTCCCAAAAAACATTAAAGCTAGCTAGCTCCTGGTGTGCCCCATATAATGTTCTATTTTGTGTTTGCTTTTTGTTAGTATCATTTCCCCCCCCTTCTTGTTGTTGTTGAATTGAAAAAGGATGGAATGTAAAAATAAAGAAAGGATGAATGCTACTTTAAATGTAACATCTGGGCTTCTCTATCCTTTCAAATTAAGTAGGTAGATTTATAATCCTTTAAAAATGAATCCTAGGAGAAATTGAAATAGACATCTCCCCCGTTGATTATAAGATATGACATACGGAGAGTGATTGCTATGGGTAGTTATGCTGTGCATGGTGCATACGGATGCAAAAACGACGTCGTTTTATTAAAAACACGCGACTCCCCTTAAAAAAAAATTCAGGTTCGATTCCCAGCAACATCATTATGTTGTTCATTCATTCTGGAATTTTAGTTCATAGATTATGGAATTGTAGTTCATTGATTCTGGAATTGTAGTTCATCGATTCTGAAATTTTAGTTCATTCATTCTAGAATTTTTAGTTCATAGATTAGATTCTGGAATTTTAGTTGATCGATTATGGAATTTTGGTTCATATATTGTTGCTGGAAATCGAACCTGAATTTTTTTTTTTAAGGGGAGACGCGCATTTTTAATAAAACGAAGTCGTTTTTGCATCCGTTTGCACAGCATAATTGGCCGATTGCTATCGCATTTTAGGAGACGATTAATCAACCTATTCAATATGGCCCTCAACAATCTCATTTTCATTTGATAGTAAGTCCAAATTAATACTTATTTCAACTATAATAAAGAGTCTGTCTGAACTTCAAAACTAAGTTGTGTAAACTTTAAAGGTCAACATAGAAGCAACAACACTAGACAATGTGAATAACAAAAATGTTGGCTTAGGCACCAGCCTTTCTACGTCCAACACGCGCAACGAAACCAGCTTTGATGGGGGCAACTGATCTTCCAGAACCACACTACATGAAATTAAACAATTAAAACAGTAAAAAAAAGTGATGAATGGGATAAAGACTGGAGATAAACGTGGATCATTAAGTTCCACAAAACAAGATAAGTTCACAAAAACAAGACAACAAATTAGAAAAGTCACTTTGAGAACAAATAAATGTTCTCACAATACCATTCACCATGTTTTCAAGAAATGACAAAGTTAATCAGAGGTGGACCGTACCTTCTCACATCTGAGGAAAAACAAACGGTTCTCCTTTGAAAGAATGGTATCTGGACTTTTGCAGCCGTTACAGATCACATACTCATCTTAGCAGAAAAACAATCAAAGTAAATCATAATGAGAGAACGAGAGATGGTACTAACATTAATGTCAGGCACAAGATATAAACTGGATATATGTACTTACTGACGTATCGTCGCAGAATGCCTTCAAAATTCTTTGGAGCAAATCTTCCCTTGACAACTAAACGTTGCTGCCCATCAGCGGATTCACTTGTCCGCATTTCGGTCCCCATTTCGGCCGACAAAAAAGCCATGACATGCTCTGGCTGCCTATGCATCCTATAGAGAGGGAAAACACAGTTATTATAATATATCATGACAAGGACAAATCCTTAAGAAAAAAATATGCCCACAAAATGAACGAAAAAGGGGAGGGAATGAAAAGGCTTTTAATATAGTACGTCTTGCAATGATCCATGAAGTTCACAAAAACAGTTTTCTTTGTTCCTTCACGAAGAACTTGAGGAGGGCTCAACACTATTCTGCGTCTATTCCCTGCAAGTTCTGGATTATTCTCACGAAGGATATTGTAAACGCATCCCAAAAGCTGTATGAAATTACATAAAAACGTTTAGATTCATTGACAGAAACAATTATGAATTTTATAAATCACTAAACACATACCTCCTCATATTCATAATCCCGGCCACTTCCTTCCCATGGGAGATGTTGGAGAACAATTCCTTCTCCTTCATCATCATCTTCAAAGTGATCTGAAATCATTTAGCCGTTAAAGCGGAGAAGGAAAAGTGTTAAGAAAATCTCGGTCACTATATCAATGTACCTGACAAGTTTTCAGTTTTCTCAACCAAGATATCAACAGAATCATCTGCGGCATCTACAATTGTAACCTTCTTCTTTTTCTTCTTTTTGGTAGGATCGAACGGAGCAATCTTCAATGTAATAATAGTATATTATACAAAACACAACATTGGAAAAAAGTGCATCAATTTCCCAGGAAAGAATTCAACCTTCAAGGCACTACTATCTAAATGGAGAGTAATATCTATCATCCTAACAACTCTTTCTAAGCACTGAAATCAAAATACAAGTAATTTCAAAAGCAGGAAACATATTATTCAGGATGTGTTAATATCATGCTGGACGCTAATCGGGCGCCCGGGCAGCGCCTAGCGCCTAAGCAGCCTAGTCGGTGCATAGGCGGAATCTAGGCGGCGCTAGGCGGTCGCGAAAAAAACAATAACAGACTTGCAATTTGACAATTTTAATGAGGCTGTTTTCAACATTCAATCAAATAACACATCCAAATAAATGACATAATGACAATTCTAAGTCATAACATCAAAAGAATATTAAAAAAAAAAAAAAAACTCAAATGAAATACCCAAATACTTCAATCATCCAAAGATTGAAAGTATCAAACTAGTCTACGAGTGTATATATGTCATATTATATGTATATGTCATATAAATGGAAAAAATTAGCAAGGTCGAGTCGGTCGGGTTAACTCGACTAACTCGACAGAAATTAACGAGTTAACTCGGCGTAATCGGACGAGTTAGACGCTAGGCGGCTGAATTAGGCGATAGGCGGACGCCTAGATGGCCGGTCTCCTAGGCGGGAGCCTAGGGCAGAAATCGTCACGGCCTATGGGCGCCTAGCGTAGGCGCCGATTACTCAGTGCCTAGGCGGCGGGCCGATTACTCGGTGCCTAGGCGGCGGGCCGATTACTCGGTGCCTAGGCGGCGGGCCGATTACTCGGTGCCTAGGCGGCGGGCCGATTACTCGGTGCCTAGGCGGGGCCGATTACTCGGTGCCTAGGCGGCGGGCCGATTACTCGGTGCCTAGGCGGCGGGCCGATTACTTGGTGCCTAGGCGGCGGGCCGATTACTCGGTGCCTAGGCGGCTAGGCGGGATTTTTACAACCCTGGTTAATATATATTTGCGAATAAAAATGCATAATTAGAGCAGTGCAGGACAAAATTAATTACATCCAATCTCAACAATGAACTAAGCCACCTCAAAGGTAGAATACATCAATCTTAAAAGCGGTAGCAAATGCATCAAAATTCATGGAAAAACTATGAGAACTTACAACTTCTCCCAGTTCGTCCTTCATCGCAATTTGATTTTCCTCTTCAGCCATGATTATACCTAAGACAATTCAATAAAAATAAAATAAAAATTATCGACTCTAGAAAAGACATCCAGAAACACTATAGCCTAAAAATAAATGTAGGCAAAGATCACGGACCACCACCAACAAATATTTTAATATAACAAATTCTTGGATACAAAGTTTCTGGCTACTACACAAGTTAAACATTCACAAATCATCAAATACAACAACTCTAGGCCAAATCTTCCATTATGTTCAATAAACCTAAAAAATAATATTAATTTGTACTTAAAATATTCAACCACGAGCTTGATGAAAAAAAAATACAAATAGTACAAAAATACTTACCTATTCTAACTTACAGAAAAATTGCAAAGAAATTGCGCCAAAGCTGCACTGTCGAAACACACTGTTCGTCGCCAAAAAACAAAAGGATGGAGGATGATGGAAAAACTTTGTTTTTCTTATATATATAATATAATTGGGACAAGGAATCGAAAAGGAAAATTGATTCCTATTCTAATATTATAAAAAATAGTAATAGAATTTCTAATAGAATATATTGTTCATACTCTCCTATTTGTATTATAATTTTATATCAAAATTCATATTCGTAATACAATAGGACAATCTATATCTATTCTATATATAATTAAAAGTAAAATTCTCCTTCTAGTATTTTTTCACCCAAATTTATTGTAATGGTCGAATTATTTAATTATGGTAAACTATGAAATAATTAATTATAGTAATAGAAATCCTAGAAAAATATAGAATACAAGAATATTTATTTATTGTTATATTATTATTGTGCCTCATGGTCATTATATACTAACAGAATTTGACATGAAAATAATAATAAAAATAAAATAATATAAGTGGTAATAATAATATCTAAAAGTAATCAAGTGTTAATAATAATAATAAAAATATTAATGTTGTCGAGTCGGGGTGTGGGGGCCCTTAGAGTTGGGGTTCAGTCTTTTTGGAAGAATAAAAATATTAATATAAGAATTATAACATAGAATAAAACGCAATTATATATATATATATATATATATATATATATATATATATATATATATATATATATATATATATATATATATATATATATATACTAGTTTTTTACGCGCATTGCGCGATTGAGATAATGCCCAATGTTTTTTTTTTAATAATACTTTAAAGTATATCAAGGCAAGATTATATTGAAATGTTCATGCATAGATAATAGAATGTTGAATTTGCGTATTTAAATAGGTAATTTTAAGTTTACAAATGCAAGATAATATAGTCAAGATTGTAATTGTCAATAAAATAATTGTATGGGTATCAAATACCGGACATAAGGGAGAGCAAATAAAAATTAGGGCATAAAATATTAAATATATACTAATATTGTTTGAGGACATTCCGGCAGTAGGATTTGTGATTAGAGTTCTATTAAGACTTTAATATTAGAATTAGATTAATGGTGTCCTTATAATTCTATATTAGACTTTAATATTAGAATTAGACTAACCGTGAATTAACGGTATTTAACGGAAAAGTTAACGGATAATCATATAATTAAGGATAAATTAAAAAATCTCAAAAAAAATTAAAATCTGCACAATCTAAACCATTCATTTGATTTAATAATTTGACGGTCATTTTTTACCCAATGCTTATAATTAAATAAATATTTGAAAGTATATCAATGCAAAATTATATATGATAAGTTTATACATAAGTAATTTAACGTCGAATTTGTTTATTTAAATATGTAACTCATAGTATATGAATACAATGTAATATAGGAGATTCATTATAATTGTTACTAAACTTTTTTTAAATAGTAACCAATTCAAGTATTTTTGTTACAAAGGGTTCTAATATATTTAATGAATGCACATATATACAAAATCAATGAATAAATTAACGGTACCAGTCCTTTAGATGTTTTGCTCAGTGT